GGAAAAAACTTAAGTTTCGGGTCAAAGTAAAGGTTTGGTTTTGATGTCGAGGTTTTTTATTTTTGAAACAAAATGGAAGGAAATTTCAGGGGGAAAAAAAGGCGTTTTGAATCAAGAGACAAGGAGGGGGAATTAACATCTTTTATTGGGCCAACTTCTGTTGGTGAGAGAGACAAGTTCTGAGCTCCATAGAGCTCTTCTTCAAGCTTGAAAGCTCCTCTACCTCCCCCACCTTGTCTGTCTCCTATCCTGGGACCCACGCGGCTACAACAACACAGCAAACAATTTTCAATTGAATCATTTTGACTTGTTTCTTTGGAATGTTGTTGTCCGTCTCCCCGTCCGTTGTGTTCCCTGTGACCCCCTCTCCCACCCCCCCCTTCAGGGTGCTGTCTCCGAGTTCCTGAATCTGCATGCTCCACGTTTTGGCTGAAGGGGTTGCCCAGCTGTAGTCATGAGGTTTCACCTGGCTCCAATGTCCAAGTGTCCTGGTGATTCCTGACCTGAGATGCAGTGCCCTGTGGTCATGTGACCTCGGTTCTCTTTGGTATGGGGGCAGTGCCAGTTTCCCCAGGATGGCAGAGCCCTGCAGGGCTAGCCTGTGGGTCATTGAAAGGGAATTTTCTGGGATCCTGTCTGTGCCCATTGTCCCCTTCTCCCCCCCCCCCCCCGCAGCTGCTTTGCTGGTGCACCTGCCTCTCTCCAGAGCACTCCTTCCAGGATCCTGATGCCATGTGCTGGTCCATGCAGCGTGGCCTGCTTGGTACATGCTTGCAATGACTCATTAGGGCTATTGCTAGTGAGCTGGGGGTAGAGCTCTTAGGCCTTACATCTGTGCCTGGCTCTGCTGGGTTAGTGGCGGTGTGGGGAGAGGCCGGCTGGTCCCATCTCTTCTCACTCGCTCCAGGTGGGTCGGCTCCTCCTTTGCCCCTTAGAGGTCCCAGGATGTCTGTGGGGCCTGTCCAATGTACAGAGCCCTCTGGGCATGCTGTAGTTCCTCGCCCGGCATGTGCTGATGGACAGTGGCATGTTGGGGTCATCCCCCGCTCTGACTGCCAGAGTGAGGGGCAGCTCCTACAGGCTAGGTGGGGGTGGCAGCGCAGCCAGGAGCTGGCGGCAGCACTGGGGAGGAAGTTTTGATGCTTGGCCTGAAGATCTGAAGCTCTTTATAGCTATTGATAACCCTCACCATCCTCCTGGGAGATCCCATAACTCTGCTACGGGATGAGGAAACTGAGGCACAGCGAGCCAAAGCAACTTGCCCAAGGTCTGTAGAAGCGGAATAGAACTTGGGAATCCCGACTCCCAGTCCCCGGCTCTGTCCCCTAGGCTGGGTGTATGTGTGTGAACAGCCTATCAGCAAAGAGCTTAGGAGAGAATGGGAGGAAAATATTTCTGTGGGTGCCCAGGAAGGAATTCCCTCTGCAGTGAGCAGGCAAGGCAGGGCATTGTGATGTGAAGAGTGGCATGGCAGGCAGTCCGTCGTAGCTTGAGAGGGGCAGGAATACTGTGGGCGAGGGCCTTCCTCTCCTGAGCTGGGAGCCTTAGCCGGGTAGAGCTGCCACTCCCCTTGCCCTGGTGCCAGTCTGTGGCTGTGAGACTGACTGTGAAAGCCAGTGGGGTCGCTGTGATTGCCGTGAGCCATGGGGAAGTACTGTGCAACTGCAGGGGGGCAGTGAGAGGGGACAGGGGTCAATGAGCCCCCCCCCCATCGTTGGGCTTCGAGGGGCCGGGATACCACTAGACCGAGCGGATGAGATCCTGCGTTGCCAGACAGAGCAGCCTGCTGCCGGAACTCCTCCCTGCTCTTCTCCCCTTCGCTCTGTGGGGGCAGCTCTCCAGCCCCCTGCTAAGCAGTTCCCCAGGCAGGAGTAGCGCTGTGCAATGCTTGCCCAGCCTGAGACCCCCTTCCAGCTGCTGAGACTATCCAGTGTCTGGGGCCTTCCAGGGGCTGGGCGTCTGGCATGGGGGGTTGGGACACAAGAAGGCTGGGTAGATACGGAGAGGCCCATTGGCTCCCCACAGCCCTTCGGACTCGAAGCATAGGATCTGTGGGGGTCTGCTGGGCTTCCCTGTCTGGGTTGGTCACTGGCTGGAGCTCTGGCCTGTCACCTGGAGACCCCAGAGCTCAGGGCTGCAGGCTGCGTTCCAGGGGTTGGTCCAAGGGCCAGAGGCCAATGGCAGTGGCAGGGTACAGGTGCCACGTGGACAGATAGATGCTGGACCCATTGACCTGAGATGGGATTGCCTGGCTGAGAGGAGCTGTTGGGTGGGGAAAAGGCTGCTGTTCCATGGACTTTGTGCTTCCCATCCTCATAACAGGGGGCTTGTACTCCCAGCTGGTGTGGCAGCAGGCAGGGCACTGCTGTGAGGGAAGTTCACAACCTCCCCAGTCAGCAAAGCGGGGCAATGACCTGAGGGAATGTAACCTTCATTCGGCCCCAACCCCAATTACACAGTGAAGTGTTTAACCACGCTCTGAACGCAACCTGTCCTCTGCTGCGATGTGTCCGTCCACGGCTCTGTCCCTCCCCGGTGCAGTGCGTCTGTCCGCTGCTCCGTGCTGGGAAGCGGGAGGAGGTGTAGGGCTTGGGTGTCTCTGTAGGTCCTGGAGCGATGGAGCTGGCAGAGTCCAGCCACTGCAGCTTTGGCTCCTTGCTTCCTCTTAGAGCTGAATAAGGCCTGAGCCCCATCTCCTCTTGGATTGTCCCTGGCATAGATCCAATCCCTCCCCCCCCTCCAAAAAACCCACAAACAACCCACTCTACCTGTGTAAGGAGCAGGATGGAGCCAGCCTGCATCAGGCATAATTGGGATGCCCTAGTTTCATAATCTGGTTTAAACCCCTTAAGCTGCTGCTATCTCTCTAGCTACCTCTCCAGAGCGTGTGTGGCTGGGGAAGTGCCAGCAGTCAGGGGGCTACAGGGACTGTATGTGGGGGAGGAGGAAATCTGACAGGGCCCCCAGCCCTCCCCCGGGACTCCTGCAAATCCAGATGTCCGGCTAGGTGCTTCGCTCTGCCCTGGCCTACCCCTCAAGGGTGTGTTGTGGTGTGTTCATGGCACGGACCCTGAGGCTAACACTGTGGGAGAGGCCGGAGGCGGCTGCATAAGCTGTTTGCATTGGTGCTGTTCCCGGGGAGGCCAGTGTGGAATCTGGGAGTCAGGAACTGATGCAGGGGGTATTGCAGTCTGAACACAGCCCCTGTTGGGCGGGTTCTGATCTGTCCCGTCCTGGCCACACCATGGAGATCATCCCCAGCTGTGTGTTTCTAGTGCACTCCCCATGGGATGGGTCCCCTCCATGGACCTCTCCCCACCCTGCCCCCCAGGTTACTGCATTTGTTTCTGGGCACCTTGACCCCTTGCAAGATGTTGACAAACTGGGGGGAGCAACAAGTGCTGCCCTGGCTGGAGCGACTGAAAGCTGCAGGTCGTGCCCTGTCCCCGACGCTGCCCATGTCTGACACTCTGTGCTGTCATCCCCCAGGTGCAGAGAGACCCCTCTTTAACCCTCCCGGGCCAGGGCCTGCGCTACCTGGAGCACGTCTGCCTGATGCTGGAGAAGATTGCCCAACTGCAGCGGGCCAACCTGCAGCTCCAGCAGCAGCAGAAGGTGATGGAGAGCCGGCTGTGGGGCCAGCAGGCTGAGAACGTAAGGATGGCCTTGCGGAGGGCACAGGGGGATGGGCGTGGCTAGGAACCAGGGTGGGAGGACAGTGGCTAGGTCTTACCATTCCTTAAGGGAGGATGCAGCTGCTTGTCCAGTTGTATCCCCCAGAAAGGGGCGCTGCACACCTTGCAGTTGTGTGATCCCCTTGGAGGAAGGTGGGGTGTGTGTGTGTGTGTGTGTGTGTGTGTGTGTGTGTGTGTGTGGGGGTCCTCTGTCCTCTTAGATCTCCAGCCATGGTGGGGCTTTCTCAGATACTTTTGAGGAGCTGGTGGGGAGGAGGAGGGGGAAGGTGGGTCTTCCCTGGGCTCTGGGATTCCTTTCGCCATGAGGGTAGGGGTGGGAATGACTAGGGGTCTCCCCTCTCCCCCCCAATCCCTGCAGCTGCTTGTTTCACACCATGCATCCTCTCTGCCTGGCAGGCGGTGCCCTCTGAGGAGAGGCCATGCAGAGCCCCAGAAGAGCGGGGGCTGTCCCAGCCGGAGCCTGAGAACAGGGCGGAGGTGGAAATGAAGGAGGAGGATTTGCCTCTGGACTCTTGGAGGCCCCACCACTTCAGGGCGCGCTCGGCCTCAGACACCGGGGTGCTCCAGGACCTGACCAGGAGCTCAGGTGAGTGAGCCCGGCTTGAGTAGCAGCCCCAAGACCCAATCCCTTCCCCTGCATGTCCTGGTGGCTAGGAGCTCCCGACTTGTGCCAGGGGAGGGGGGGAAGAACCCCTCCCTCTCCCTGCACCCCTGAAATTAATGAGACCCATGCTGTGCAAATTGAATGTCCTTGCTGGGGTGGCTCATTCCTTGGCGAGGGGGACAGGGCTGCTGCTAAAGATTTCTCCACCCTCCCATGAATATGCCCCCCCCCTGCTTCCGATCTGGCAGCAGCTCCCTGGGTTTCCCCACTGGCCAGCTTTCTCCCTGTAGAGAAATGCCCCGTGCCCCCTTGGGGCTGGGTGTGCTGCCCCCGCTGGCCTGGGGAGAGCGAGATCCCAGACCAGGAAGTCTGTCTATCTCCCATCCCCTCTGGCAAATGCCAAGCACAGGGTCTCTGGCATTTAAAAAGGCCTGGGCTCTGAAATTAAGCTTGGTGAATGATGACTGAGGCTTTTCCCAGGTGGGTGTGCAACTCTGAGACCATTAAAGCAGGGAGTACTGACCCCAGGCCCTGGCCATGTGGTGCTGGCCCTAGTGCTAGATGGCCTGGGTTCTCTCCGGGGGGGCTGCATCTGGGCTGGTCGCTTTAACACAGCAGATAATGGTGCTGATGCTGTCTCTTCCCTGCAGAGAATGAGCCAGTCTGCTCCAGGAAGCCGGCAATGCACTGCGTCAGCTCACCCACCCTGCTGGATCAGCCGGATTGGGGAGCCCATACCCTACCGCCAAACATGAGACCCAGGGTAGGTTTCATGCCCTGCAGAGCGGGGGGGGGGGGAGAGAGGAGGAGAGGAGAGGGAGAAAACAAGGATCCCCTAAGAATTCCATGTGAATCATCCTGATGCTGAGAAGACCCTGTATGTGCATCTAGTTCTGGTGCCCTTCCTTGCCTGGGCTGGGCCAGCACTTACCCAGTGTGTCTAACTCTTATTGCCAGAAGCTGGGAATGGGCGACAGGGGATGGATCACTTCATTACCTGTTCTGTTCATTCCCTCTGGGGCACCTGGCATTGGCCACTGTCAGAAGACAGGATACTGGACTAGATGGACATTTGGTCTGACCCAGTCTGGCCGTTCTTATGTTCTGTCTCTCCCGGTGCCGCTTGCTAAGCTGTTCCCCAGACGAGAGTAGCGCTGTGCAATGCCTGCCCAGCCTGAGACCCACCCCACTTCCAGCAGCTGCAGGGGAAGTGGCTTTTTGGAAATGCTTCCCGACAACCAGCAGCTGAGACTCTTGTTTATCCCTTCCCCACTGCTCTACCCCGGGGTGGGGTTTGGGGTTCCTCTGCCCCTCCCAGAAGAAAAGCCCTTCTTTCTGCCCTGTCCATGTCTCCTGAGGGAGAGTTATCCCTGAGAACGGGGACTGGGTGTTCGAGTGCCAGGGCTCTGGCTCGCCCCTATGTGGCAGGAGAAGCCGCTGCCCTCACTCCCACCTTCCTTCACCGCTGCCGTCTCTCTCCCTCAGAACGACCGCTCACACTGGGGGAGAGTCAAAGTGCTGATCAACAGGATCACCAGGAAATCCACCCGGGCCAGCGAGCCGTCCCCGTTCGGGGAGTCTGCCGTCGACAGCAGACAGTGTAGGTAAGGCTGCCCCAGCCTAGAGACTGAGTGGGGAAGAGAAGGCAGCTCCTTGTGAATAGACTGCTGGGAAAGCCCTGCAGACCTTCACCCCAGCTTGGGTACGGCCGGGGCAAAGGCAGGGCAGGCTCCTCCCTGTGCCACCCAGCCATGCTGGAGGGAGCCCAAGAGGGGGGTCAGTCTCCATGGTCCACTTGATCCTTGGCCTCTCTGTTGAGGAGGCCAACAAGGGTCCCAGGTTGTCCTGTCTGTGATGCAGATTCCAAGGCCAGAAGGGACCATTCTGATACCAGTCTGGCCTCCGGCCTAGCACAGGCCAGAGAAGGTCCCCAGAATAATCCCTAGAGCAGATCTCTTTTTATAAAAAAAAAAAAAAAAAAAAAAAAAAAAAAAAATCCAATCTTGATTGGAAAAGTGTCAGTGCTGAAGAATCCACCATGGCCCTTGGTTAGTTGTTCCAATGGTTAATTACCCTCAAGGTTAAAAACATACCCCTGATTTCCAGTCGGAATTTGTCTAGCTACAACTTCCAGCCACTGAATTGTGTTAGACCAGGGGTAGGCAACCTATGGCACGCGCGGCGAAGGCGGCACGCGAGCTGATTTTCAGTGGCACTCTCACTGCCCGGGTCCTGGCCACCCGTCGGGGGGGCTCTGCATTTTAATTTAATTTTAAATGAAGCTTCTTAAACATTTTAAAAACCTTATTTACTTTACATACAACAATAGTTTAGTTATATTTTATAGACTTATAGAAAGAGGCCTTCTAAAAACGTTAAAATGTATGACTGGCACGTGAAACCTTAAATTAGGATGAATAAATGAAGACTCGGCACACCACTTCTGAAAGGTTGCCGACCCCTGTGTTAGACCTTCCTCTGCTCAATGTCAAGAGTATTAAATATTTGTTCCCCCTGTTGATACTTAGACTGGGATCAAGTCACCTCTTCACCTGCTCTTTGTTAAGCTAGATACATGGCGCTCCCCGAGTCTGACGCTAGAAGGCAGGCTTTCTCATCTTTTAGTGGTTCTCGTCTCGTCTCTGCACCCTCTCCAATTTATCACAACATCCTTCTTGTGGGCGGCTGGCCCCTAGAACTTGTTTCACCCTGGCCACCAAGCCATCAGCAGGTGGGAGATCCCTCCTTGGTCACCACCACCCCGGGACCTAGGGATGGGAGGTCCCATGTGCCATTCCCCCGCAGCCAGCCATTTCCCCCCAGGAGCACCCCCTCCTGAGAGGCCTGTATATGCTGCCTCTCCCTCCAGCTGCCTAAGGATGAAACCCTGTACTGGGCAGGTGCCAGGCACGGGGACCCTGGGAGCAGCAGCCTGGCAGAAGGAGCAATGCATGAGCTGTTCGAGGTCCGGGGAGCCTGGGTGTGATCTGAGTCAAGGGGAAAAAGGCAGCTGAAGCCACTGCCCCCTAGTGGTGCAGTTGGAGAAGTGCCTCCCAAACCATCTGCCCTGGGTAGGGCAATGCAGCTGTCTCTCTGCAATGGGGACTGAAAGGACTGGCTGAGGGAGAACTGAAGGGGACAGCTGTTTCTCCCTGCCCCGTGCCTCTTCCGGCTTGTGATAGGGTGGCAATGGATGGCTGGGATCCACAGGGCTGTGGGTGTAATTTGCTGGCCTGGGATTTGACAGGGGAGCACGTTGCCCCGGCACTGATATATGGTGTCCCCCGCCTGATGTTTTCCACCCCCTGCTCTTCCCTTGCAGTCTGGAGGCTTCACTGGAGAAACAAGGCTCCCACCCCAGGAGGAGCTTCCTGCCAGCGCTGGGGGTGAAGAAACACCGCTCGAAAACCCTCTCTGTGCGCTGAGCGCCCCGAGGCTGCGGGAGCCTCTTGGAGACCTGAAGGATTTAAAGCTGCTGAGCCTTCCCTGCCATGAGCCGGGGAGCAGTACACACACTCCACGAAGGGTCCCCTTCATCCCACTGCCCCCTCAACGCTGGTTCGGATTGCCCAGTCTCGCCTGCTTCGATGAGGTTGACGGGATTTCTGGCCCTTCCTTGGAAAAAGGAGGCAGCAAGGGGCGGGTGTTGCTCTGTCGTCTGTTCCTGTGGAGCTGTGGCATTGAAGCCAAGCAGCTGTGGATCAAGCCTGCTTAGACATATGAACGCTGGGGTGCACGCTCTCCCTACTAACCCCTCGCGGTGGGCATGCATAGGAGGCACGTTCCTCCATTGAGGCAGGTCCTCAAGGAACCTGGTTTAGACCCAGCAGTCTCTGGTGTCTGTTTCCATCCACTCTCCCCGTCCCACACACACCCTTGCCCAGCATCTCCCCCTGGGTATGTCTGTCTTCAGCAGGCTGGTTCTGAAATCTTGCTACTTCCTTGCTTGCAGTGTGCTGCTGCAGAAGCTAGGAGGTGCTCTCACTGCTAGCTGACTCTCTCCCACCACCTTCCTCCTCCTGTGACTGCAGGCAGCTCCAAGGCTGCTCTTGGTATCAGGGTCTCAACGGTGGGTAACAAGGAGCATTGACCACTGGGCCGCTCTCCTGCGGACCTTAACTGAACTACGGGGCTGACCTGTGTGCCACCGAAAGTCTCCCTCCCTCCTAAGGGGATGTCCATCCACACTCCCATTCTGTTCAGACCCCTGTCTAGGCTGGGATTCCAGCTCTGGGGGTCTCTGCACAGCAGTGAGAAATCCCCGGCATTGTCGAATGCGAACTAACTCACCTGACAGCTTAGTCCACCACTACTAGCCCCTGGTCATTTTGTAAATGCGCCAGTGTATTTGTATGTAATGTATTTATATGGCCTCATGGAGAGAGGTGCTTATGGAGGCTGATGGATTCTTAGACACTTAAAAAAATAAATTACCACTGAGTTTTGCATCCTGATCTGTAAAGCGAGAGGTGGGGGCATCCTTCTTGCTGGGGGGAGGGATAGCTCAGTGGTTTGAGCATTGGCCTGCTAAACCCAGGGTTGTGAGCTCAATCCTTGAGGGGGCCATTTAGGGATCTAGGGCAAAAATCTGTCTGGGGATTGGTCCTGCTTTGAGCAGGGGGTTGGACTAGATGACCTCCTGAGGTCCCTTCCAACCCTGAGATTCTCATGCCCCCATGCTACTGGGCGGTAGGTTGGCCAATGGGGAGTCTGTGCATGCAGGGCCTTTTTGTGTGATAGGACTCATGTGTGTGCGCTGTCCTGGCAGCTTGTTGGTATCCGTCTACCATGCAGGAGTCCCCGGATCCTGGCCTCTCACGCTCTGGCCTGTCAATATTGGGGAGATAACAGCTTGGCCTAAGAGACCAGTGCAGCATGAAGTGCCATGTGCTGCTACTCCAGCTGAGCCAGCCCCTCTGCTAGGGCAAGGGGTGAATTGGTCATCCACTGTCAGCCTCATGAAGGCTTTGTGACCTAGCCATACTCTCTGGCCGCAGAGGAGTCTGCGTGGGAGCGGCACTGGGGACAAATCAGCGGTGTAGCACATAGGGAGTTTAACACGTACTGGAAAGGTAACCCTCTCCCCACCAAAGGAGGTGAGCTAAAGATCCAGGCTGCATGGAGGACATTAATCAGGAATCTCTTCAGAGGTGATGACTAATGCATGGAGCAGAACTGCACAGGAATCAAGAGAAGATGCAATTGTGACCGTGCTCTTAATGCTGAATGCCCACGTCTTCCAGGATCCAAGGATGTTGGGTACCTGGAGTAGGGTCAGCCCCAGCACTGCCTCCTGTCCTGTGTATTCCTGCTGTTGCTTCTGTCTCCTACCCACTCCCCATTGGCATCACTGATACCTGTAACTTCTGATACTTAGCATTTATAGAGCACTTACCAGCACTTTTCAGACGTAAGATCAGCCATGATGGGTCAGACCAAAGGTCCATCTAGCCCAGAATCCTGTCTTCTGACAATGGCCAATGCCAGGTTCTTCAGAGGGAATGAACAGAACAGGTCATCATCAAGTGATCCATCCCGTCACCCATTCCCAGCTTCTGGCAAACAGAGGCTAGGGACACCATCCCTACCCATCCTGGCTAATAGCCATTGATGGACCTATCCTCCATGAACTTATCTAGTTATTTTTTGAACCCTGTTTATAGTCTTGGCCTTCACAACATCCTCTGGCAAGGAGTTCCACAGGTTGACTGTGTGTTTGTGTGAAAAAATATTTTTTGTTTGTTTTAAACCTGCTGCCTATATTTCATTTGGTGACCCCTAGTTCTTGTGTTAGGAGGAGGAGTAAATAACACTTCCTTATTTACTTTTTCCACACCAGTCATGATTTTATAGACTTCAATCATATCTCCCCTTAGCCATCTCTTTTCCAAGCTGAAAAGTCCCAGTCTTATTAATCTCTCCTCATACGGAAGCTGTTCCATACCCCTAATCATTTTTATTGCCCTTTTCTGAAGCTTTTCCAAGTCCAATATATCTTTTTTGAGATGGGACAACCACATCTGCACAGAATATTCAAGATGTGTGCGTACTATGGATTTATATAGAGGCAATATGATATTTTCTGTCTTATTATCTATCCCTTTCTTAATATTCCCAACATTCTGTTCACTTTTTTGACTGCCGCTGCACATTGAGTGGATGTTTTCAGAGAACTATCCACAATGACTCCAAGATTTTTCTTGAGTAGCAACAGCTAATTTAGACCCCATCATTTTATATGTAGAGTTGGGATTAGTATATGTATAGTGAATGATGAAGCCTCCTGACCCACAGACCTGTACAGAAGTAACTATAGCTGAGAGGCAGAGTAGAGAGAAGTGATAGAATAGAGAGGGAGAAAATGGAATTTGGTTCTTGTGCTCACATGATATATATCTACAGCAGGTGCTTGTGTGTGTGGACAGACCTACTATCTAAGGAGCGTGTTGGGCTGTATAGACAGGGCAGAGACGAGGGGTTAACCCTCTTCTGGCCCCAGGAAAGATCACAGCTTCCTCAAGTGCAGGGATCTGTAAGGTAGCTGAGCCAAGCCATGTGTGGGAAATTAACGAATCCTATTCTTCCAACATGAGCCCAGGGGAGTTGTGGCAGGGAGAGTGGGGAGGAAGGCTCTCCAAGGACGACGGGTGGAGCCGAGAAGAGACCTATCCTTGCTGCAGTTCTGCCAAGGTTGAGCCATGCGCTCTCATGGTTGTTGAGGCTGGCCTGTGACTTTAGTGCTTTTTTTTTTTTTTTTTTTGAGACACAGACCTAGTTGAATTTGGGCCCTGTGTAAAAGCAGCTATTTTTCTCCCCCGTTTTTCAATAATCAATACTATACAATTGTGAAAACTGTGCCTACCCTCTGCTCTGACGGGCTTATCTCGGGCTTGCGTCTGCATTAAAGCTTAGCTGCCACTTCCAAAGTGAGCTAGGCCTACCTCTGTAAGGAGCCAGAACCTGGCTAGCTCGCGTGTGCTGCATCTGGCTAGAAGTGGAGCTATTCTCACAGTTCTGCTTCCTACTGAGAAATTGGGCTGGGGGCAAAGGGGAGAACCTATCCTGAATGAAAGTGGGGAAGGTTTTAAATTTAGCCACACGATGGCAGTAACGTTTCCATTATAATCCTCCATGCAGCTCCCTGGAGTAGATTTGCTGTTCGAGATACACTCCATTTATTGCTCAACCTCCTGCATGGTTAAATGTTTCTCTGTGTACATGGGGAAAGGATTTGGGACGAATTAAATACTTGCTTAAAATAAGGCATAAATCATTTCAATTAACAGGTTGCATATGGTCTTAGTGTGATTATGATGTAGGGGTAATGGCTATTCGTAGCAGCTCACCTGCTATCCCTTCCTGGGCTGGGAGTAATGCACAGGCACTGTGATTGTTAAAGCTGACTCGGGCTATGAGACGTAATGGGTCAGTTTTGTGGGGTGGATAGTGGTAAGATCTATCTGCCAGAGCTAAGGGAAAGATTTAAGTTGGGCCAGGGCCGGGCCAGCCTTTGAGAGTCCAAGGAGCGAATTCCCAAAGGGCCTACTGGCCTCTAGAATTAGATCTACAGTAAAACCTTTGTGAGAGACCACCTATGACGAGTGTCTACAGGTAGAGGCCATGGACCATCACTGCTCTCTGGTGTGCAAGCTTTTGAAGAGAGGCGACCGCTTTTGATAACTCCCATGAGTGGTTGCTCTAGGCGGAGAAATGGGCTGTGTCCTACCCCTGGCTTACTGATGGAAATTACTTTGGCTGGAGTTCATCAGCGGTGTTCACCCTCCTCCCTCTCTAAGCACAAGGGGTACACGGTGGCTTGTCCCAGTAGCTGGAGGGGTGATGCTACGGCCGTGTCCTTCCTCCCGGCTCCAGCCTGGGCTAGAGTAGCAGCCACTCTGTCCCTCCAAGTCCTGGGAGCATTGGGCGGCTTAACACTAGTGAGGGAAATGCCCCTTCCAACAGCAGCTGCTGTCCCCTGAAGTGTGCAGGCATTGGGGGTCACGGGGGCCTTAACACTGCACCCCCACCTTTACTCATCCCCCACCGCTATTACGGGGAGAGCAGTAAAGAGCTATTGCATCACCAGCGCTCACAAGTTTTCTTTAGCTGAAAGAGGTCACAGGACTTTGCAAAAAGAGAGAAGTGCCCCGTTTTCCCCTCAAAAGGATAATTACTAAAGGCAAAGTGGTGATATATTTTGTGAGAGAGGCTGTGGAAAATTCAGTCCTCTACCCCCTCTGTTCCTTGGCGTTGAACATTTAATAACTTTCAGGAGAGAGAGGAGGAAGTGGAGAAGAGGTGGGGGCAGGGTCTTGGGAAAGGGGGTGGAATCGGGGCATACCCCCTCCAGCCCCCTGCTGTGAACTGCTCAGGGCAGGGGACTGGGAGCACCCCCACAACCCCAGCCCTGACCCCTGCACCCACCTCACAAACTCCCAGCCCCCTGCCCTGACTCCTGCAGCCCCCCCCACGACCCCAGCCCTGACTCCTGCACCTCCACACATACCCAGCCCCCCATGCCCTGACTCCTGCACCTCCCCCACATCCCACCCCTCACCCTGAGCACCAAACGGGAGCTCCTGCACCCTCTCCCCCCCCCACATACCCACCTGCACCCCTCACACCGAATGGGAGCTGCCCCAGGTAGGTGCTCTACACCCCAACCTCCTGCCCCAACCCTGAGCCCCCTCCCTCATTCTAGCTCCTGGCCAGACCCCAACCCCCAGCCTGCTCCTGCACCCTATCTCCCGCCTAGACCCTGTACCCCCACCCTCAGCTCGGTGCAGAGAGAGGCAAAGAGAATGGGCTAGAACCAGGGAGAAGGTAAGTACCCACTCTATGTGGGCAGGGGTGAGGGGGGGATCCTGTTTACCCCCTCTCCAGCCCTGCTGCGCTTGCAGTTTACTCCCGGCCCCTCCCTTGCTCCAACGACCAACCCTAGCTCCCGCCCCGCTGTGGTTTTGCCCCCAGCCCCTGCCTTGCTCCAGTTAGCAGGGACTAATCCTCCTCCCATGCTCATCTCACCCCTGGCCCCTCCCTTGCTCCAGCTGGGAACCAATCCTTCCCCCACACACACCATGCCCAGCTGTCAGGGTGGATAAAAATCAATGACTTAAAAAAAAATCAGATTTTTTTAATTTAAATAGTTCCCCCCCCCCCCCCCCAAATCCAATCTAAAGATAGTTTTAATTAAGGTACATTATATCATGGAATAGGGATTATAAATTCTGATTCTATAGTATGAGACTATATTCATGTAATGTTTAAGAAAAGTTTTGTAAATGAGTTCTAATAGTTCAGGGCTTGTTATGCAGACAAAACTACACAGGATCGTTTCAGGGGGCAAGGCAAAGATGCCACATTTATTATGATAACAATTTGATCTATAACCACTAGCTAATACCTTAATACTTATAC